TAAGTAAAGTTTTCGCCCAATTTTTAGGCACAGGGATACATTGTTATGTGTAAAACACGTTCTCTTATTTTCATTGAGATAAATCACATATTGGCCGATATATGCGGTATAAAGTCACCCGGAAGTTTCAAAATCTTTATATTAGGTATATGGGGGCTAAAGGAAGTATTGATCCATTCAGCCCATTTTTAACATAGACATAATATTATCAGGAAAGAACCCTCTCTGAATTTCAATTACATATCTCACACATTGACCGATATTTTGGGTAAAAAGTCAATTATGGGGTCCACATATTCGGTACATAGGAGCCTGAACTGGTTTAGTACGATTTTGACAATTTTCGGTCATAAGGTGGCATGCTTTACAGGCATTATTCGTGCGAAGTTTTATCCCGATAGATTCATTAGTGCTTGATTTGTATACTGGAAAGTGAAAGAATCTGATGGAATTTAAAACTGTTTTATTTGGGAAGTCGGCGTGGTTGTAGTCCGATTTCGCACCTTTTCGCACAGAATTATAGAAATGTCAGAAGAATGTTATGTAGTATAAATTTGGTTGAAATCGATTTAGCAGGTCCCGAGATATGTGATTTCAACCAAATAGACAGTGCCATGCCCATCGTCCAATTTCGACCCCGGCTCCTGTAAAGTCTTCCCATACCATCTCGGGGGTAAAATTTAATCTTTGGCGTATTTAGTTATTGCTTTATCGCACTTTAAATAGTTTTTAACAGTACAATTATATGGGGAGTGGGCGGGGCTATCCTAAGAGATCATCCATTTTCGCTGCCGAGTTGACAATCCTTGGCCGGATAAAAATCCGGATCCGTTCCGGTTACGTACACCCGACTGTCGTAGGAACGGATTTTTCACACCGTCGGTAGGGGTACCTAAGGGATTTGTTCTGTGAGAATTTGGTTATTTTAGCTTAAATGGTTTGGGATGTATGTACATTAAACCTTTTAGAGGGCGGGGCCATGCCTATTTTTTCAAAATTTATTTTTCGTTTATTGGCGTTTTGCGGGCGTGGCAGTTCTTCGATTACACCACACCCATCTACAACCTCGTCCTAACTTTTTTGCCAAGGAACACATGTACCAAGTTTCATTACGTTTATACAGATTGCACAGATAGACGGACGGACAGATAAACATCCGGCTTTCAACTCGTCTCGTCATCGTGATCATTTATATATACATATGTATATAGCAACATGTTGCAAGAATATAATAATATAAATAAATATTATAAATAAAAAGCAAGAAAAAATAAACTAAGATGAAAACTAAAAAAAATTTTAAAAATACAATAAAACTAAATAAAAACAAACTAAGCAGGAAGAAATAAAATAAAAACAAATTATTACCAAGCCGTCGTCACAGAAAATTATTATGTATGGATACATAAAACTTTTTTTTGTAGTACATACATATATGTACATATTGACCAAGTGATTGTTCGAAATTGGGTGCATTGAATAATTTAACCCAATGCGTTCCTAACTTACAATGGGTAAATGAATGTACATCAAATTAAGAATTGTAAGGACCGTTTTCGAACTGTAACGCCATATTTCCGAGAGTGTTTTAAAATCTCATAATAACTGCCATCCTAATATAACATATTTATTAAAAAATAAAATTTAAATAAAATAAAAATATTGAATTGTTTTATGCAACATTTTGGAGAAAATAAAGAAACTGCAACAATACAATATTATTCTTCACCATTACGTATTGTCAGTAACCCACCACTTAATATGGATTAAGCGAGTACGTTGACGACATGATATGTCACAGCGAATCAACTGAAGGGATGTATTTTCAAAGCTTTGACCATTACTAACCTCAACTAGCATCTTACTGTACCCCATATATTTCCGTCAACTAATGTCTATTGGTAAGCTGACCTCTATCACGCACTGCTATGGTTAAAATATCTACAAATGTACATAAATGTATATATGGCTTTTAAATATTGTATGTTGTGTGGGTTTAGACGCTGATGATTGATTTTTCCGATGTTTATAGGTACTCGTACATATATTGTACATGTGTGAGCAAATAAAATTATTCAAGTTGACATACACAATACTGACATATATTAATAAGATTGGAATATGTCAATGGAACAAAATGTTAAATGCAATATTTAATGGAATGTATACATTACTCATGCGTTAAAAAGTACAAACAAAAAATTCACAACAGTTATTCGCCCATGATTCTCCACTGATACAAAAAACCCCTTAGCCGTGGCAGACAAGTAAAACTTTTAAATCAATCAACACATACACTCAAATCTGAATCCGTTAAATGTGTTATTGAACTAATATTTCGTATGTATAATTAATCCTCCGTTTTCGCCTTTTTACTTGTTGTTCGAATCACTTGACTTCGTTCATACTTCTCTTCTAAGAACTTAAAAACCGATTCAAAGGCAGAATATGAAGTCCATTCATGTTTAGAATGTCCTGCCGATACACTAAGCATTTCACCCTCTCCCGCATAAATTTCCGTATCGAGTGCGGCAGAACTAGATATCCAATTGCATGCAATATCCAAAACAACGTGTTTTGCATTTCCTGGTATTTGGAAATGAGCAGAGTCCGTTAGCGCAATTGCAAACACTTTATCTTCAAAAAATTTGGTAAATCGATTTGCCTAAAAGGGAAGAACATTTATTATTATTCGTATTTCTGAATTAGTATTTTATAATTGGACTTACTAAATCCATCGCAATTGCCCCACCATAACTATGCGCTACAATGGCTACACTCTCAGGGTTACAACCCATTACACATTTTTCCCATACATATCTAGCGTGTGCTGTTGCATGCCCCAGACGTGGTATTGGACGATTTTCCCCGTTGATGTTGCGATAATTGTCATTTGTATTTGTCACCAATATATCATAGCCAAGCGATTGAGCGCGTTTTATATAAGGGATCTGAGTACCATGGTCAATAGAATTGTTAATTATGAGGCTATAGTAGCGTTATAAATAGATGGATATATATTATGTATAAAGGAAATAAGCAACGATACCGCAATATAAAAATTTACTTACCTTCTAGCCCACTGCCCCGCTCTAACATAACCACTACCGTGGATTAATACAATTAATTTTTTAGGTTCCACGAGCTTTGGAGGTTTAGTAAAAATGAATGTGGCTTGCTCTTGCGGTATATCCTCCGGAAGGTAAGTGCGACTTAAACCATTTTGTTCTAATAAATCATAAACTATTTCAGGAATTTGCTGAAAAATTTTATATTACTTGTTCATCTAAAAATGTATTATGAATTTTAAACTTACATCAGCTAATTGTTCATAATGATCCTGATTTTTTTTGTGATCGTCAGATATGGTGAATTTGAAGGGCTCTTCACCTGGCTCTCCAGTAATGTCATCAATTCTCCGCAATTGTCCATCTATTTTTTTAATACATGTATATCTATGTATAATTGTATTTCATACAATAAACATTACCTGCATTGAAAGCATAGCCGAATTCACGTAATTTTTTTAGAGCCAGACCACTTCTTTCAGCTGAAGACATACTTTTGCACTCACACCCGCTGATCGGTTGTGCTGACTATAAAAGTACAAAAGCAATTAAATCGCTATTGTATTAAAAATGTTGTGCATAGAAATAAATATGCATATACATATAATACATATACTTTGACACAATAAATCTTTTATCTTTAGAGTTAGTTGTTTTGTTCTATATGTATGTATTTGCGTTGAATTTTACTGAACTCAGGAACTTGCTTGAAGGTTAGCTCTTGCATCACAATTAAAAACTTCAAGGTCAATTAAACTCACAAATTCTATTATTTTTCTCTGATCGACTAAATTTTTTGATAGCAATGCAGCTATTGTTTATTTACCTTCCGTATGTAGCGCCAAAATAATGCTACTTTACAAATTCGTGCCACAAAATTTGACATTTTCTTTTAAAACTACAGTTGCCACCTGCTATTTTTGATTTTGGCTCAATTCTAATTTGCAAGCTGTCAAATTTTCAACAATCTTGGTTTATGTTCTAAAAAGCAAGAGCAAAGATTAAAAATAATTAAATTTTTTTATTTTTGTGCTCCTTTGTTTTGTGATCTTTCAATGAGTGGAACTTTTTATTTAGAACTTTTTCAAATCGACAAATGGCAATATATTACAAAAATCCTAGAGTAAAAAGTCTCAGTTACAGATGTCGCTATTCGATATTAATCAACTAAACGAATTACAGTAGTTTAATATTTGTATTGTTGGTACAGCCATATAATATATAATATATAGAGCTCAAAAAAATCAATAAATAAATTTAAATGCTAAAAAATGAAATTCTCAAATTTAATCGAGCTGCTTTTAGAGCAAAAATAAAAAAAAAGTTTTTTACGAAATTTTTTTGGGCAATAATTATTGAAACTGGCAAATGTTTAATAACAATAGTTCATTGCCCAATATGTACGATATAATGCAACCGGAAGTTTGAAAATCGCATGTTATATGGGAGTCGCATGGGAGATAGGCGTAGCTGGCTAGCTGCTAATAGTCTCACTTTGATTACCTTTTTATTTAGACTTTTAGACATATTCACATGAAGACTTGCGAATGAAGGCAAGATAAGATGCCTGCTACTGAATCAGTTCAAAAAATCGAAATTTTAACCATTCAGATCAAAAGTTTTTTCCCAGCCAAATAAAGTGGGTGAAAGGGGAATTTAGAAAACGGAATTACTGCATATTCCAGCGAATATGACAATCTTTTATTAAAAAACGTATTATATAGTTGAATGAATACTAACTCTATTGAACTTGAGCAAAAAAGTAGCCAAATCCAAATATTTTATATGTACTACCTACAGAGAACGTATAAATGTATAATGTCAATTCGTTCTCTGCTGCCTATACAGACAGGTTAAAACCGAAGACTAAAGAAACGAACTTAAACAAATATGACCATATGTACATGTGTGTTGGCGCAAATGAACAACCACTTTTAAGTTTAAAGTTCCATATTGCAAATTTATATTTATTACAACAAAAATGATGTTAAAATGTATTTACATTTACGCCGATATCGTTTAAATTACACTAAATGAGCTAAAATATCTATACATATACATATGTAAGTGTATGTTATCTATTGCGTTTAATAACCGAAATGTATGGTTAATCACAGTTGAATCAATTACATTCTCTACAAAGTAAGACACAATCATATCTACTGGCCACCTGATGAACTGGACGAGGTGGAAGCTAGAGCATTACCACTGCTAGCCGCAAAGGCGCGCTGCAAATTGCCGAAAAAGCCCCATAGCATACCAACAAGGCTACCTGCGAAGTCAAGTAACTTGAATTCTGTGCTCTCGTTGGCGGCCTCACGGTCCTCCTCTGTCTCTATTGCTGATGATTCATTCGCGGGCATGTGATCGGCCATTCCACTCATCATTGAGCCCAACAGTTGATGATGTTGCCTGGCCGCATGTACCGTTTGGTTATGCTGATCGCGTACCGTATTTAGAAGATGACGCACAGGCTCCAAAACTGGAATACTTTGTTTCGTGCGACTCCACATCATACCGCCAACACGAGAATGACTCTCATTATTTACAGATTTAGGTGATTCATGCTGTTCATTGCGACCAAAAATGTCATCTGCGTCCTCCAATGTGTTTTGTTTTGTCAGAAGTAAGTCATCAGTATGACGCGCCGACTCCGTTGTGGATATGCCAATTACCGGAGTTGTATTAGTGCGTGAGAAGTCATTATCGAGACTCATATCTAACTGCTCAATAAATGCACCATATAACTGGGAAATGGGTGTTGAGCGTTCCGTTGCACGTATAGTAGCGTTTCGTCCGTGTTCCACACTGTGAACCCTCTCGTAGTCAAATTCCCTGATTTCAGCACTCTTAGTACCGGCCCTCCCTTGGTGTACATAGCTGACAATGTGGGTGGTATGAGGTAGAGGAGTAGTCGCCGGAAACGCTGCTATCTTCAAAATTAAGTACTGAAAGCAAAAAATGCAATATTTATTTTAAACGAGAAGTGTGAAGCCTCATAAATCGATTCGTTATTTTTATTGAATTTTGTTAAGGCAATACATGAGTAAAACCACACAAATGGCGGGCCATTAATCAAGTGGAAACACTGAAATGGTTCGTAGCTCATCAAAATTACGCACAAATATGTTATGGCATCATAACAACATAGGCACTAGGGTGGTTCAAAAAAAACTTAATTTTTCTTATGATCGAATAGAAAGATTCATATACAATACATATATCAAATTTGTTTTTTCTTTCGAATTTTATAACTCAATGAAAAAAAAGACATTTTAAATTGCAAAGCTCATAGTTTGGTCTGTATAATTTTTCGATTAAGTTCAGCGTTAAGTTAAGGAAAACACATAAAAAAAAAAACAAAAAAACCAAAAAAATTAAAAACAGAGACCATTTTTTCTAGAGCAGTAAATTTCCTACAAAACTATGAGCTTTGCAATTTAAAATAACGTTTTTTCATTGAGTTATAAAATTCCAAAGAAACAAACAAATTTGATATCTGAATATGAATCTTTCTATCCGATAATAAGCAAAGATAACGGTAAAGCGCAGAACCTCCCTGTTACAATTAAGAGCTGTTACTTGGAGAGCCTTTCTTAGAGGTTTCTACCAACCAATTTTCGGAGTACCAAGCGAAAAGAAAACCTTGGGTTTTTTGATCCACCCTAATATACAAAATCGTTTTTTGCATACGATGAGCGTATGTATGATTACAAAATATAATACATAGAGATATAACTGCACAGCTCATCGCTAAACGTGAAACCTTTTGTGCTCAAGGTCTAGAGCGAGTTATGCTTTTTCTCAAGAGAATTTGTCTTAAGCTATTCTCACCACATTACATAATTGTCACATTTTTAATTACACGATCCCGCGTATATCTTCATAATATAAAATTCAAAAATACGCTATATTATTTTACGTTATGTTATTGTTATGTAAGCTGCAATCGCTTCTGTAGAATAATAAGCGGGTTAATACAAAATTTGGGGTTAATTGTAAATACGTATGTATATGCTATGCACTTACTGTCGCAAACACATAAACACAAGTGGTATGCCACCAAAAACCGTGTACTCTCCGCATTGTGGCCGGCTCAGTTTCAAAATAATTAAATATTAGATTTAATGCAACGCGCCTGAACTCCAATAAGAGTCGATTCCGCGGGATACAATATTGCTCCAAGCAACCTAACAGACAGCTTAGCTCGAACTAACCGCCACAGACTTAGCCAATAAATCGAAAGTATAAATTAAAATTTTAGAAGTTAAACAAACTGATCCATCCACAAATTTTATCATTAATATGCAAAGCACATTTCAATACTTTTATGTATCGCTGCATTACTCACATGGATTTATAACGTGGCGCACATATAGAAACTTAATTGTAAGTAACTGCGTTTGCACTTACTGGAAGTTTATAGCGCATACGCGCACACACATACATACATGTATCTTTAGCTTTATTGATATTGTCAATGTTTAGAACGCCTTTGCATCGTTGCCAATAGCGCTGAATTATTTCGCACACACCTAAAACGCCACTACACACACAACTGTAGGGTTTTGGCTTTGCGACACTTATCGGCAACAGCGATTTTTGATGTCTTTAAACGATTTACTTACTGAAGTACTCCACCCTTTTATAAAAATACTTTGCGACAAATTTGATTTTTTTTCAGTGATCTGCAAACAACTGAACCTTTTATCAAAAAATTTTCAATGAAAATTAAAAAATACGAAAAAATTGTGTCATTTCTTCTGGTTTTTAGCAAAATTTCTTGTGTAAATAAAATTTTAATTGAAAATTATGCGAATATTTGGGAAAGTCCTGCAGACTTTGCGGGTGAGTTAACAACTAGCACACACTTTTAGCGCCACTGCCACTGTGCTGAATACATATGTACGCATATACATATATTCCTTTTTAGCTGTAGAGAGAGTGTAACAGTCATGCGTTCCGATACGATTACGTTCTTGTTCGGCCATGGCACGCTCAAGTTTTCGTAAAGCGATATATGCTTGCTCTTGATCGTCTCTTCACAATGTTGTAATGCATGTGAATTGGACATTTCCTCGTCATGAGTCCATAAAGTAACATCGTCTTGCCAGAACATTGATCCAGCAATGTTTCAGCGTTATTACTTGCCAATGGCACGCCATAATGTGTTGATTCTGCTGTGCCAATACATTTTCGGAAAAGCTTCAATTTGTCTAGCATGTTCTCGAATAATAGATAAAGTCTTCATGGTGTTTTTGCTGGCATCATCGTCACCGTCAAACAAGTTAAGCGGAATCAACATGATTTTTGTGGAAGTGGTCGCAGATTTAGACTGTATCAAAGCCACTGGCAGTATGTTCGTTAGGGTAGTCTTGTTTATATCATTGCCCTTGTTAGATGAATCTGCAGTTACGCAAACAATTTAAATTCGCTTTCTTTCATAGCCATATAGCCATGCATTTACCTGACTTTGCCGCCATCGATCGCATAGAACCATTTTTTGAATTGCGATTATGCAGATTTGTGCGACGCGCGCAGTTATGGGAGCACAAGATTGAAGAGTAGCGACGTGGTTTGAAGTTTGATTGTCTTCGAGACAGCTAAAAAGGAATATATGTATATGCGTACATATGTATTCAGCACAGTGGCAGTGGCGCTAAAAGTGTGTGCTAGTTGTTAACTCACCCGCAAAGTCTGCAGGACTTTCCCAAATATTCGCATAATTTTCAATTAAAATTTTATTTACACAAGAAATTTTGCTAAAAACCAGAAGAAATGACACAATTTTTTCGTATTTTTTAATTTTCATTGAAAATTTTTTGATAAAAGGTTCAGTTGTTTGCAGATCACTGAAAAAAAATCAAATTTGTCGCAAAGTATTTTTATAAAAGGGTGGAGTACTTCAGTAAGTAAATCGTTTAAAGACATCAAAAA